CTACACGTGAGCGGGGGGACAGGTGTTAGGGTGTGTGGGTAGAAACTGCATGAATAGGATGATCTGGCAACACTGGCAAATTTGGCAATGCTTAGGTCTGGGTAAATGTGTGTGTGTGTGCCTATGAGGCAGATGAAATTGTTTGTTTGTTTTACTCACCAGGCCACAGAGATGTGAGGGTCCAGGTTATGGGGTAGAAGTGTTTGTTTGTTTGTTGTTTGTTTGTTTGTTGTTTACTTACCAGGCCACAGAGATGCGAGGGTCCAGGTTAGGGCATGGGTGTGTCTATTGGCCAGGATTATGTGGTAGAAGTGTTTGTTTGTTTGTTTAGTACTCACCAGGCCACAGAGATGCGAGGGTCCAGGTTAGGGCATGGGTGTGTCTATTGGCCAGGATTATGTGGTAGAAGTGTTTGTTTGTTTGTTTAATACTCACCAGGCCACAGAGATGCGAGGGTCCAGGTAGTTCAGCTTGGAGGTGCCGAGAGCGATCTCTTTGTTCTCCTCCTGTAGAGGGAAGGACAAACGTACATCAGATTCCTCCACTAATGTATAAGCAAATACAGTTTGAAACTCCTAAAAACAGACTAAACACTGCATTCAGCCTGGACTGTAACCATTATCACCCATACACCCAAACCCAAACAATATCTAATGCTGGGTTGTTACTGTGGATGATACCATTTTCTAACAGGGGTGTCAATGGCCTGTACCACTTATAACGGGGGTGTTACCTTGTCAGTGGCCTATACCACTCATAACAGGGGTGTTACCTTGTCAGTGGCCTGTACCACTCATAACAGGGGTGTTACCTTGTCAGTGGCCTGTACCACATGACGGGGTGTTACTGTGGATGATACCATAATCTAACAGGGGTGTTACCTTGTCCGTGGCCTGCACCTCCAGCTTCATGAGCTGCTCCTCCAGACGTTCCATCTGCTTCTTCTTACGCTCCAACATCCTGCAAAATACAAGACTCGGGGTGATCACTGGGATCTTCAAAACACTCCAACCTTACCCTAACTCTAACCAACATCCTGGGGAGACAAGACTCAGCATTATCATCAGGATCTACAATCACTCCACCCTAACTGTAAACAACATCCTGCCATAAACACCTGAAGGCATTGTTACGTACCCTGCAGTTTTGGCGTCCCGCTTGTGCTTGTAGTCAGCCTTCAGGCCCTTGTACTCCTTCCTGGACTTCTTTATGTCTTCCTTCTTCTTATCAATCTGCAATGAAGACAACAAGAACATGTTGATAACCTCTTACCTACTCTATGGCAGGACATGCACAGTTGTCTCTACATGTTCATGACATCTTAACCATGACCCAATACATGGCATGTCACACAGTTGTCTCCTTACATGGTCAGCTGGTTAACATGTTCATGACCGTTATCTTCGGCAGAACACATAGTTCATGACCTCTAACCTCTACCCTTATCTCCTAGCAGAACACATAGTTCATGACCTTTAACCTCTACCCTAATTTCCTGGCAGTTGGCTGCTTACCTTGGCCTGCAGGTTGCTCATGGACTTCTCGAAGGTTTTGGGGACGGAGCGCTGATGGTTACAGAGGATGGCCACCGCGCGGTTCGCCCGGTTGTACGACAGGATCTTGGCGGCAACGGAGTCCTCGCCTGGGGGAGAAGGCAGGATTATCTCACAGCACAAACTAATGCAGCAAGCACTGCAGAAACCTACGCAGCAAGCACTGCAGAAACCTACGCAGCAAGCACTGCAGAAACCTACGCAGCAAACACCGCAGACAGCAGCAAACACTGAAGACAGCAGCACAGAGAAGCCAGCTTTGTGGAATAAACAGCAGAAAAGTGGAGGACAGCTGAAAGGAAGTTTAGGATACCCTCTGACTTTCCTTGTGAGACCAAAATTATCTCCATAAAAAATTTTCCAAATTTTTTCACAATATTGCATCGAACATGAACTTACTTCAAAGCATCGCCAAAATGTCATGTAAACAGCTATGATACAGCAGCGCGGGGCAAGCTGACTTTCCTACGCAGTGCAATGTTGCTTGAGAACTGAACAGCACTATGTGAACACTATGTTCCATCAGCCGGCAGCACAGCAGCCTGAAGCAGTGAGGACAGGCTGTCATACGGCAGGGGGACATCAGAGCTGAAACATGCCCAAATCAAGCTGCACGACTTAAGCACATTTCTGAAAGCCTGGACATTTTTTCACGATTTTTAACGAGAGCAAATGGTCAGAGAGGGCATGCCAGCTAGGCCTGCACACATCACCCTGCGGTGTGACTGCAGGAAACTTTGCTGTTCACCTGTCATGGCTGGATATCGCGCCATTGTTTGGGGGGGGCAGGAGGGGCAGAGGAGAAGGGGGAAACAAACATACACAACATGTAATGATGGGAAGGGAAAAGACATAAGAGATGTGAGAGGTTGTGAAGTAGTACAAATAAATAAAATTGCAGAAAAGGACAGCAAAAAAATGTCAGAGAAAAAGGGGAAAACACAACCCAAATCTACATCTACACTCGATGCTGCAATTCAAACTAAAAAAAAGGCATGCAAGAATATGTACTACGGAAAAGACCTTATATTCATTTTTGAGAGAAGTTCATATAATTATGTGTGTATGTGTTTGCATGTGTGTGTATGCGCACGTATGTGTGTGTGTGCTTGAGAGTGGATTATGTATTGTTGGTTGGAGTCTGACCTGCCGCTGTAGAGTGTTGGAGGTGTGTGTGTGTGTGTGTGTGTGTGTGTGTGTGTGTGTGTGTGTGTGTGTGTGCGCGCGTCTGTCTGTGTGTGTGTGAGAGTGTATGATTACATACTGTTGGTGAATAGCTTTAGCTTCTGCTGCAGGGTGTTGGAGGCACTGTAGGTCCTGAAGACTTTGGCCGTCAGGGCTCTGTGTGTGTGTGTGTCTGAGTGTGTGTGTATGTGTGGCTGTGTGTGTTTGAGAGTATATGATCACGTACTGTTGGTGAGCAGCTTTAGCTGCTGCTGCAGGGTGTTGGAGGCGTTGTAGGTCCTGAACACTTTGGCCGTCAGACCCTCCATCATGTCCTGCAGGTGTTTGTTCAGGATCGTCGTGTTCAGCCGGTCGAAAAGGTCGTCCCCGTCCGACTTGTTCTCCTTAAACAGCTGCAAGTTCTTAAAGACCTGCACAAGACACGGCAGCAGAGTTAACATCAAATTGGTGTATCCTTTCATAAATCATATCCAATTGCTTGAGTAACTGCTTTTTGGCGTATCTTAATATTATTACCTTGATACCTAACCTTCATCAACGTATCCTGAACTGTTGCTTTATCCAGAATCATGCTCAGGCATGGGATCAGAGTCAACATCAAACATCAGCTTAAAGATTTGCACAAGTCATGGGAGCCCAGTCAACATCAAAATGGTGTATCCTGAATCATGCTCAGGCACCAGAGCAGCCAACATCAAACAATAAACAGCTTAAACACCTGCACTAGACATGGGAGAAGAGTTAACAACTACCACGCCCTGGATTGAGTCCTCTAAACTTATGCAGCTTGTACTTACTGTACAAAACTGATATGTTACACACGGGTAAAGGCAGTTTATGAAGTATGGAAAGGAACTATGAAATGTCCCACCTTCTTCTCCACAGCCACGAAGTTGTGGTAGCGGATGGAGTCTTTACCCAGGAAGTCAAACTCGACCACGAACTCCTTTCCTTCGTGCTCGCGGTGAAGGTTGATGTGTTCCACCCGCAGCGAGCAGCAGCCAACCGTGTCTGCAGCCTCGTCAGAATCCTTCTCGTTACCCGCTCGAAGGGCCAGCTGGGAAACAACATAGGGTTAGTCAGGATGGTAAACAAATTTAGAATTGTAGAATTTGAATTTCCTACGAGTATTGTTTACCTGGATGTCTAACCTTCATCAACGTTAACACTCCCGTTTGTGTAATGACTGGAAAGTAAGGTTCTAGTAAGGTTCAGGGGCGGTACCTTGTCAATGAAGCCGATTGCCACAGCCCTCTGCAGGTATATGTACAGTAGCATGTATGATTATGTAAGACTAGTTCAGACTTGGTACCTTGTCGATGAAGTACAGAGCCACGGCTCTCTGCCGTATCCTCATCTCCTTGGACTTCCACTCCTCGCGGTACTGCGCCCGGATCCGGTCCACGCACTTATGCAGCTTCCGCGCTGTC